TGACCAACCCCTTTTGCAGTTACCCAGTTTCTGTGTCCTATAGTGCTAGGTTGTATTGATGTTGGGGGCCACAACATTCTTCTCAGCCAGGTCAACTCTAATGGCTTCCTAGAGTTGTTATGGGGAATTAGCTCCGGGATCTCCACGCCTTCAAATACAAACAGAGAGGATCTCAGGCAAAACAGGAATCTTTATTAAATATATATGAAAGCAACATACATTCAATTAACATTCTATAGTTAACATTTAAGTTCTTAGTTCATCGTTAACACAATGTAATGTTACAATATACATTGTGTAAAGCACTTATATATATTGATCACTCTGCAATACTCTTCTTGATCAATGGATCAATGAATCCATATTACATTTTAGTAAACACTGTAAGCCAGACACTATCATCAGATAATACAGCGTGGCAATTAATGTTTCACCTATTCTTACTCTCACCTAACTATTCATTCTGACATTCATATACTTACATTTGTAACCTTACATTTCCCATAGCTTAGAATTTAAATGTGACAGATAACAGGGCTACTTAGCTTGTACAGAAAAGTAAATATAACAGCGCGAATATATCTGCCGTGTAACGATGGTAACTACAGCAAAGATTAAAAAGCCGGACGTCACGGTCAGTGCGCCGTAAAGTAAACAAGTTCCTGACGGCTGTGCGAACCACCAACCGTATTACTTTCCTGTAAACCAAGATAACCCAAAGATACTTACAAAAATTATGACAATTAAACATTATAACATTGATGTAAGTTTTCAAGGTTTACAAATTGTATATGATATATATGAGAAATGGCTGTTTATAAGGGAAATGTTGGTAATTGCCAACATTGTATTTCTTACGTAGTTATTAAGATGCCTGACACTTTGTGACTACTCTACAACATAAAACACTAAAACGACCGGTGCTTTTAGTTAATTCAGATACATTAAATGAATATATATTTAAAAGACATTGCCATATCTGTGCGCACTTTGTTATAGAAAGAGCATTATATTCTTGACATATACGGTCACAGACTGGTTATCTTTAAATAAATACCTTCTTCTACCGGCAATCAGAAAATAAATACATAGCTGTAGACAATATTCGTATTGACATTACAAACAATATCACAAGTGACATGGCAGAGATAAAAATACAGATTCTTGGAATATGTTCTAAACGTTACACACGTTGGGCATGTATTGACGATCGGCATCCACGACTCCAGTAACTAAAGTGAGCGGTATATTCTAGCTGAGATAGTTTAGGCTTCTGGTACACTAATGGTGGCCTAGGACAGTAATGATTCCTTATCTGGGATTCGCTATTATTCATAACCTATTCAATATCTATTTAAACTACAAGGAATTAACATATAGCGACTAAACGGAAAATTCGAGCAACACTTTAGAATAAGTAAGATGATTTCATTGTTCAAGCAGGATAACACGGTTAGAAGGACTTTAAGCAAATTTAACCAAATGAAAAAGTAACAAGTAAAAGTGACTTACCTTCAAATACAAACAGAGAGGATCTCAGGCAAAACAGGAATAACTCAGTGGCGAGCTACGCCTGTATTTATACCCGAATCTCCTGTCCGAATTTGAAAGCAAGTCGAAGACCGCATGACACACTGGTCATATTACGCAAGTTTGACAAAGCTGAGTAGCCAAAGCTGGGGGAAAGTTAGCTAATTGGAAAACATAATTGCTGCTGGAATGTTACCGTTCGGGTCGGAGTCCTTTGTTAATTATTTTGGGTTGGCCAGCCGTGTCTAGCTCAACAATGCACCTACTCTGATAATCACTGTGTGTTTGAGACACAAAGAGCAGTGGCCTAACACTTACTAATCTCCCAGAGTCTCTAGTCCGGTTCTGGCAGCTTGAATGTTATAGATTTGAGAATAGTTATGTAGGTTCTGAAAACTATGTGACTTAACTGGACTGAGAATGTAAAATTATAAGATTGTAAAACAAATCCAAAATAAATAAAAACTTGAAGAAAAGTAAGGTAAATTTTGGCACTTATATAATGAAGAATTTGTTCATCCATAGTGTTGAGCCGACTGACAACTCCTTTGACAATACCACAGATCACTTCCATGCCACAATGATGGGCTAAATGCAAAATCTCATGGCCATATTTCCTGATATTACTCTTTGAATATGTACATTTCTATATATAATGTTAAGGGCTGGGGCTTAATAGCTTCAGCAAGAAATTTTACAGTTACATTTCACAAACATCATGATTTCTGAAGGTGATTTCATTGAAACGTCGATTCGAACTTGAGTAAGAGAACCTTGGCACTCTATCTACCCCATACTTATAAGAGTTCGTAAATGGGTCATTCGAACCCACACCGTCAGAGGCAGGCACCTAATTTCCACCACTCTGCGGAAGCTAGTCTGTCATACAGACCCTGAAACAAATATATCCCAGAAAGCCCATGCAAGTCTAGAATATGTGGTAAGTCTAGATTTCAACAATATCTGAAAATAAAGAAATTGTCAGGGCTCCTTTTCATTACATTTTATTTCTTTTCTATTATGAAGTGTTTATTTCAGAGACTAGTTGTTACTCTATGTGCATGTCGCGGTAGCTGAACGGGTTAGTTTTGTGGAAGCAGCGGTGGCTGAGTGGGTTAGACGGCTGACTTTGTGTGCTGGCGATAAGGTGCCTGACTCTGAGGTTGTGGGTTCGAATCTCGGATAGGACTCAACCCAACAAAAATTACTTAAAGAATCTGTACTTTACTGTGAGAATGTACTCCCAAATATAACATGTGTTACAATGGAACAGTACTAAAATATTTTGTCATATTTCATGACAGTATGCTTTTGAGTATTACAAGGAATTCAACGTTTTCACAATTTAGTGTGGGGAGGAAGACGGAGTATATCTCAAAGTCTCAAAACTTCGCAGAAGCAATTAAGATTTTTGTCCAAAATTGAACTTTTAAACTTTCCGATCAGGTCAGAGTTGATAGGTTGAAGGGTCAGTAGGTCATGACGTCTAATAATTATGGGAAAATGTCTCTTGTATCACATATACAGAGAAAGGGGAAGTGCAGGTGCTTGTGATAAATGCATGTCACGCTTTTAACATAGCTAGAATATCTTGCCCAAGTTAAAATCTTGGGACAATGACTAAATCACAGTTCTATGCAGCATGCATGGTCCACATATGTGACGGATAAGGAGCCAATTAAAGTCCAACGTTTAAAATAAGAATGGATTATAATTCAAAGGCAGTAATCAAATGTAACAAGTGTCACGCTTTCTAACACAAAACCTACGAATACACAATGTTATTTTAGAAAGTGGTCAAATGTAACATATGTTATATTTGGGATTACACTTTCTTAGTAAAGTTCAGATTCTTGTATTTTTTGTTGGACTGATTCCCATCGCGGATTCGAACCCACACCTAATCGCCAGCACACAAAGTCAGCCGCCTGAGCGGGTAGTTCAAAAGTACTAGAATCTGTACTTTACTAAGAAAGTGTAATCCCAAATATAACATATGCTATAATATAAACCTTTTATAATGAATAACCATATAATTTGAAGTAATGTCAAGGGTATTTCAGTAAAGTGCAGACATGATCATCGTTAGTAGAAGAGTAATTTTAATTATTTTAAATAGAAATGAATATCTAATCGGTAACGTCCCTCAGGTGGATTGACTCAGGTTTCATTGCTAGTCGTTTGCGCCACAGGAGGAAATTTCTTCATTTAGAAACACCGATAAAAAATGTTGTTGTCATGGAAGAAAGAAAATAATGTCAGTGTCAGGCTACATTGAATGCTGTGCAGATGTCAGCACTGATGACACTTGCCTTCTGTATCTGATTACTGCAACGTATCTACCAGAACGAATGTAGCTAAAAATTAAGATGTAATCTATCCTTTTCACAAAGATGTAGTGTTTACGCATTCATGGTAGCTGCCTAATATTTTGCTGCAGATATGATCAAAACAGACAGATATACCACTCGCGTACGTGTATTCATAAATTATGCATGTAAGACAGTTCGTTGAACTCATTTGGTCGTTGTCAGTATCAAGTCAGCTATCAAACACTCAGCAACCGATGCTTCAACACAATGGAAGCCCGACAAATGGTTGTCAAGGTCATATACCCCACGGAGAAGTGTTAATTGCAACGACCCCCATGACCGAAAGCTATAAATACCTTTTAAAAAGTGGCCAAATATAAAATAGTTTTCATTTGAGATTACACTTTCCCGCAGCCTGATAGTGAGGCACCAAATCGCATGCGCTGTCTAACCCATTCATTCACCGGGACGTCCGCAACCCCCTGTCGGACTTCTAGTTCTGTGGAAACCTAGGTTGCCCAGTAGGTTTGATCGCTGACTGGATCACCCTGAGAGTACGATTTAGAATCCTGCATGGGTCACAGACCCAAACGTAATACAAATATAGCATGCAGCTTTGTGTTCAACTCGCAAAAGTCATCAATGACGCCCTTATGACACACGGGCTGTGCTGCGATCATCTCGCACAAGTCATCAGAGACGCCCTCAAGACACATGGGCTGCGGTGCGATCATCTCGCACAAGTCATCAATGGCACCTTTACGACACATAGGCTGCAGTGCGATCAACTCGCACAATTCATCAATGACGCCTTCACGACACATAGGCTGCAGTGCGATCAACTCGCACAAATCATCAATGACGCCCTCAAGACACATGGGCTGCGGTGCGATCAACTCGCACAAATCATCAATGACGCCCTCAAGACACATGGGCTGCGGTGCGATCATCTCGCACAAGTCATCAATGGCACCTTTACGACACATAGGCTGCAGTGCGATCAACTCGCACAATTCATCAATGACGCCTTCACGACACATGGGCTGCGGTGCGATCAACTCGCACAAATCGTCAATGACGCCTTCACGACAGATGGGCTGCGGTGCGATGAACTCGCACAGCTTTTGACTCGCGCTATCATGTTACTGCAGGAGCGGAATGTTCAACTTGTTGAGGTCAGTAGTGATATCATAATGATACCCAGAAGACCGTGCATGAACGTAGTTGCTATCGCTACCAGCCACTGTTTTGTTGGATTCATGTTACTGCTATGGTAAAGCTGATGTTACAGTAGTTTAATACCACACACTCTGGCTCACTGAAGCGGATGTTAGAAACATCACGACGAGAGTACTCGCCATTCGGTAAAGAGGGAGTGGTGTGAAAATGCAGTCCTGTGTTAAACAACAGGAATATAACAGTCGACATGGGGGCTGTTATTGTAACAGATACTGCGCCATTGCTGTAACGACTCAAGTAATTTCATTCAGCATTTTCAAGTTCTCGCTATTCTATTTTCATTATGAGTCGTGGGTTCTGTCGTATTATCATCGATGGGTTGCGTATATTGCCCTCCTGTTATCCTAACAGCACTTAAGTGGTTTCGTTTCCAGGTGACTAATTGACTTGTCCTTGCATGTATTTGTTACGGCTGTCACAGATGAGGGAGGATACACCCAATTTGTCTTGCAACACAGTATCTATTCCAATAAGAAGGGGGGTCTGTGGGATAGCCCAATGGTTAAAGCGTTCGCTCGCATGCTGAAGACCCGGGTTCGATACAATGTGTATAGCCCATTTCTGGTGTTCTCCCGCGGTGATATTGCTGAAATATTGCTAAAAGCGGCGTAAAACTAAACTCACCCACTCCAATAAGACGCATTGGTTTTTTTCAGGAGAACATTTGATTTGACCTTGTTCAACTAGGGAAGGGTATGTTCGCCTTCTTGTGACCACCTTGTATCATCTCTATGTGAGTGAGTGAGTATGGTTTTACGCCGCTTTTAGCAATATTCCAGCAATATCACGGCGGGGGGACACCAGGAATGGGCATCTCTATGTGATAGTGGTCTATACACCCATGGTTATGATAAAATCGGAATCGAACATGGGCTTTGCTTTACTAAAGGATTGTTTCGTGATTATGGAATCAGTCTCCTTTATTGTTATCTGTGTACACAACATGTAAGGTTCACGGTTTTATTTTCACCTTTTGCATAAATATTTATAGAATATTAGGTTCCACTTTGTTACACTTGTAAGTTGATACATTTATGGATCGAAAAATGTGCCTGGAAATTCAGAAACGGTATCCAATGCTAGCCCTCTAATATAATGAGTTCTGAAGTGTGGAAATTCTCACAGTATCATATAATAGAAACAGTACCCCTTCATGCCAGGTGCACCTCACAACACATGTCAGAGCTGTTCAGTAAGAACGTTTCAGAATGTCTGACCATTCTTGTAAAAGACATTCATTTAATGATTAATATAAATACTCCCTACTCTTTGTAAATGCAACATATTCAAGCAAACCATTTATCACCGTAACGAGGTTCACAGCAATAACAGCCAGATCGAAATGCTAAGATGTCACGCAGACAGAAGGAAATTACTTCAGATATGAATAACGGTACCTCATAAGCCATAGTCATGATTTTAAATCACCTGGGAAACATGATGCAGGGAACATGGTCACCTTCTTTGTTTCAGTTTCTAAACAATTAGGCTAAGGCTTTTCCCATTCCTGACACGTGCCTCAATATGCTCGTGGTCAAGTCTCTGCTGGACTGTGCCCGCCTGTGTGCCATCATTGTAAACTGCACCACCTTTAATTGCCGTACACAGACATGTGCCCTGCTGGATATATTTGACGACGATCGTGTGTTGGACAAGAATTTGAGATGCTTCACAAAATCCAATGAAGGTACAAATATCTTTGGTCTGAGTGAGTTAGTGAGTTTTACGCCGCATTCAACAATATTCCCGCTACATGGCGGCGGTAATCGAGTCTGGAACAGACAATCCAGTGATCAACATCATGAACATCAATCAAACCGAAACATGAGTCTCATTAACCTATTCAGACAATGACCTACTTTTCAGCCGATCCGAATTTTCTCGAGTGAAAGGGAAAATAGATATATTACAAATAACTATGGTTACACTGAATTCCAATTTTTTGTTTATTAAGAACATGGTATTTATAAATGAATTTTAATTTTAAACTTTAATAACATCGTATTTCTATATTTTATGGCGAGGTGTAGGCAGCATGTCGTTAACTAAGACGTCACAGACTGCCCCTAGTGGATGAGGTCGTAAAATGATTCACAATGCATCTGGCTCACTGACTACACCGGTTATGTGTTTTAACGCTTATTCAGTGTAGTTCTGTAACGCACAATGTGATTGATATAATATCAATTCCGTACCAGACCGCCAAACTTTTCTAGCGACATAGCCTCGTTTTGAGATTTCCACGATTTCCAGGTTTCCGTTTGTCAGAGCTCGCTGTACGACAGAGCACGCTGCACGACGTGTTTGCAAGGATTAGACGGAGCGTAGTGTTGCACTATACAAGTGCTTAGATGTGTCATATTATACTGATTAATATTTATGTATCCAGTTAAATGATTTGGTCTCAAAATTCTGGACTGGTTATTGTACTAAGTTGCGCAAGAGGACGCAACCTAGTCAACAGGAAACGAAACTGTTGTGTAATCAATGTTTTGACTTGCTACGCAATTGGGATACGATGACATGTGTCAACCACGTAAGCGAGCCTGACCACCCGATCCCGTTAGTCGCCTCTTACGACAAGCATGGGTTACTGAAGATGAATTCTAACCCGGATCTTCACGGGTGTCTTTGGTCTGAAGGTTACATGAATCTGTAAACGCATGTACGTCGCTTAACAATTCAACAATGTCATTTTATGTAATAGACTTTAACTTATAGGTCGTATTATGACAGAAATGTTGTCATCAAGGATGACATCCTTTCTGATCAAGTTCGAATACTCACGAACGCAATGTGCAAGGCCGTTGATGCCGACTTAGAGCATAGACCGTAGACCGCACAGAGTGGCGCCCAGACCTCCACCCTATCGAACATGTGGAAAAGGGTTATATATCTCCCTCTCTCGACGCCATGTCCTGGCAACAAGGCTACAGGAACTTGACAATGCTCTTCCTGAAGAGTGGAATATACTGAAGACCATGGATCATTGACTACTGGGAGTTTTGCGATATTTTTACAAAATTTTGTTGACGTTTCGGTTTGGTGAGATATTTTCATATTGACAGGTGATCTTTCTACTGGTTGCTTACTCTTCGTTGGTATTGTGTGACACGTGTCAACGTATCTTTGTTCATTAAAACATGTCTCCTCGCAATATTGTCTTTAGCTATTTCAGCCAGATTCACACAGTTTGTATTACCCTTTAAAATGGGTATCTTAGTAAACTTAGTTTTACATTCCATTTCCCAACTCTTCACTGATTAATATGTTGAGATGTAAACTTTCGAAACTTAATTCAACTCGAAAGTTCAACAGGTTATTTATTTCAATGTGAGATTTTGTTAATAATCAATAATCAATATATTTCATTCTGTTGTTTTGACAGGACTCCCTGCAATGTCAACATCTACTCAGGCCTCGATGGGATTAATTTCCTTTACGTCATGTCGTGGATCTTCATCCAAACCTGAGGGAGAACAGCCTGTATCAACATCATACGAAACCTCCCCCTCTGAGTCCGGCTCTGACATTCGAAGCACAAAGAAGACATCTTTGGTTTCATGGGACAACGCACCGACTACTGGGATCCCTAACAGAAAGAATTTCACTATTGCTGGAAGCAGGGTGACATCAAAGATGCCTTCCACTGCGTCAATGTCCACTTCGATCACAACACTCAGTATCAGCAGCCCTACAACGTCCGGTTCTCCAACTACTGACGCTACAGCTACTACTGCGTCACCTACAGTCGACACGACCCCTACCACTACCGCCTTTAGTCGTGTTGCCTTTGCTACCGGTTTTACTAGCACAGCAACTACAGCGGTAGTTAGAGACAACAATGTAGATCACACGACTTCATCTGAGCCATCTCGTGAACCTCCCACAACAGCTACTACTTCAACAACTACCCATATTCCCACAACAGTTTCCCCTACTGCGTCATCTACCCAACCTCCCACGACAGCAACTACTTCAGCAACATCTACCCAACCTCCCACTACAGTTTCTACCACTGCAACATCTACCCAACCTCCCACAACAGCTACTTCTACTGCAACATCTACCCAACCTCCCACAATAGCTACTTCTACTGCAACATCTACCCAACCTCCCACTACAGTTTCTACCACTGCAACATCTACCCAACCTCCCACAACAGCTACTTCTACTGCAACATCTACCCAACTTCCCACAACAGCTACAACAACATCTACCCAACCTCCCTCAACAGCTTCTTTTACTGCAACATCTACCCAACCTCCCACAACAGCTACTTTTACTGCAACATCTACCCAACCTCCCACAACACCTACTTTTACTGCAACATCTACCCAACCTCCCACAACAGCTACTTCTACTGCAACATCTACCCAACCTCCCACAACAGCTACAAGGACATCCACCCATCCCCCCAGAACAGTTTATTCTACTCCAGCTACACGTTTTCATATTTCTATAACTGGTTTCTATCCCACTCTGTCTGCAACAACTACTTCCCCTACACCGGCTACACCGGCTACACCTACGACTACAGCCACTGCTGCAAAGTATTCTCCTGCCCCTAATGTAGAGACGGAAGGGACTGATGTACTAACAAACACTACCACGAACCCTACTGCGATCATCACAGCAACCACAAGCACCGAGGACCATATTCCTGCTGGTCATCTGAGTATGTCTGTATCTGGTCGTGCTATTTGACACATATGTTCTTCTTAATTGCGGTCGGTCGGGTAGCCTAGTGGTGAAAGCGTTCGCTCGTTATGCCAAAGACTCGGTTCGATTCTCCACATGGGTACAATGCGTGTTGCCCATTTTTGGTCTCCCCCGCCGTGATTTTGCTGGAATATTGCTAAAAGCGGCGCAACACTAAACTCACACACTCACTTATGTTAATTGTTTGATTGTTTGATATAAACATTCAGACCATGTGTTTATATATTTAACGTATATCTTGATTCTGGGGGGTTGGGGGTGGAGGGGGAGGCGTTGGGATGGGTGGGTGTGTGTTTAGCCTAGTGGTTAAAGCATTCACTCGTCACGCCACAGACCCGGGTTCGATTCCCCACATGGGTACAATGTGTGGAGCCCATTTCTGGTGTCCCCCGCCGTGATATTGTTCGAATATTGCTAAAAGCGGCGCAAAACTAAACACACTCACTCTGTGTGGACTGACACATTAAATATAATCCGACTTAATAGTGATCTTTGTAAATATCAATGAGAGAAAGTTTTGATTCTCAAATACCCTTTCAATTTTTGATGAGACATTATTTCCAGGAATGTGTGCGTTTGGAGGAACATTCTACAACGGTTCATGCTATGTATTTTGCAACAGGCAGGAGTCATTTTCATCGGCACAGGTAGGTATTATACAAGTTATATTCAGTTAATACCATAGCCCCATTCGCCAAACATAGATAAGATTCGGACCCGTCACCAAATCTCAAGCCTCGTTCAAGTGGGATTTTTGATTTTTATAAAGCGTCTTGAACGTAGCCTAAAAAAGAACGACAGTAGCGTAATGGTTCGAGGGTGTTTGTCCTAAAACGAATATAACACCCTGGACACACGAAATGATGACATTCTTGCATAAATCCATTTTTTATTTGAACAATTAATATGAGCATGTGTTTGTGACGCATGTCACCGATGGTGTAAAATACAACCTTATATGTCGTAAACACCTTGTATCAACAATATTGTGATTCATTAAAACGTGTTTAGTGTACAGTCGGAATTGTGTACAGTCGGATTCCTCGTGGCGTCGGAAGGAGTTTCGTCACGTAATATTATTCTCTATGGGAATATAAAACAATTAAATGACCTGAGAGGTTCACTCTCATATTAGAAATATGTTACGTCTTCTTAAACGTAACCCGTGAAGATCCGGGTTAAAATTGATCTTCAGTAACCAATCCTTGTCGTAAGAAGCGACTAACGGGATCGGGTGCTCAGGCTTGCTGACTTAGTTGACCCATGGCCTCGTATCCCAATTGCGTAGATCGATGACCATGCTTGTTGATCACTGGATTGTCTGGTCCGGACTCGACTATTTACAGACTGTCGCCATATAGCTGGAATATTGCTGAGTGTGGCGAAAAACTAAACTCACTCACTGTTAAATAACATGAAATGACACTCGCAATTTGAACCACTTTAGTACAGAAACACGGCCACGTGGTAATGTCCTGATTAACAAGGCTTCAACATTTTCAGAGACACACCATTAGATTAACTATTCGTAATTTTTCAGACTAACTGTAAAGCCAATTCAATGACAATGATTGAAGCCAAAAAACGAAGAGATGGATAAATTTCTGGTCCGTTTTTTGTCTGGAAAAAGTAAGTGCGCTGTGCTAAAAGTTCTGTAAGTGGGCTTAATAAAGAAAGTCGTTAACTTGAGACCCTGGTTTAAATGGCCCAGTTCTAATCTGATATGGTGATTTCTAGTGTTAATATTCTGATAATATTCTTCTCCATTAGTTGTTTGATTACAATCGCATACTGCTTTATGAATGACTTTACTGACAATCGGAAAGTACAGTAATTATTCTTGAAATTGCCAAATTGTCTGTGGATTGTAAAGTCATATGCATAGACTTCTGTGAAGGCATATCTATGGACTTCTATGAAATATATATATGGACTTCTGTGAAGTATATATATGGACTTCTGTGAAGTATATCTATGGACTTCTGTGAAGTATATCTATGGACTTCTGTGAAATATATCTATGGACTTCTGTGAAGTCATATTCATTGTTTTTTGTGAAGCCGGGGGCGGTGGGGTAGCCTAGTGGTTAGAGCTTTCGCTTGTCATGCCGAAAACCCTGGTTCGATTCCCCACATGCTAAAAACGGCGTAAAACCACACTCACTCACTCACTCACGTACTCTGTGAAGCCATATACAGTCTGGGGCAAACGAAACGATACCATATTATTGAGGCTAATTAATAAAATATGACAAAAGATAAACAGAAAATCAATGTTGTAATTAGAAGACAAATAGGTGAGGAGCATGGAAAATCAAATTCATTAATCGAGGCCAATAATTGTTTGAGATAATTTCAAAAAAACACATTATATTCATATGTCCTGTATTCGATCACTCCAGTAAGATGAGATACGTCAATGTCTCTGACACAGAGACACTCCTGCTAGTCAATATCGAGTGTGGTCACCACCGGCATCGATGCAGGCTCTAACACGACGTCGAACAGATGAGGTCAGACGTCTGATCACGTGAGGAGGTATCCTGTTCCACTCCTCCCTCAAAGCTTGGATAAGGGTTTGTCTGTTGACTGGGGCGACCTGTCTGGCACGAATCTGTCTCCCAAGATGGTCCCACAAATGCTCAATGGGTGAAAGATCCGGAGAGCGTGATGGCCATGGCAGGACAACAACGTTGTTAGCGTTGAGAAAGCCTTGCACACGTTGTGCTGTGTGACATGGGGTGTCGTCCTGTTGAAATACAGTTCTTGGATTCTGTTGTAGGAAGGGTAGAACAACTGGCCGAAGGATTTGGTCGATATAACGCTGCCCATTCAAATTCCAACAACCAGATCTGTCTTTCTGTCACCACATATATTCCCCCACACCATAACGCCACCACCGCCAAACGGCTCAACCTCCTGCACGCAGCAACGTGCCGTCCGCTCTCATCTGCGTCGATGCACTCGTGTCCTGCCGTCAGGTCTGTTCAGGAGGTATCTGCTCTCATCGGTAAACAAGACTCTGTCCCATTGTCTGCGTTGCCAACCTTGAACGATGCGCCCATCTCACACGTCGACGCCGATGTACACGCCTCAGTGCTACACCACGGTAGGTCTGTAGGATCGGATACCATGCTGACGAAGTCTCCTGGACACCGTCCTTCGGCTGATACGATGACCCAGCGCAGTCGATGCTGATGATGTCACGGTGAGGAATCGGTTCCGCAAATGCAGGGTACGCAAGTAACGGTCGTCAGCTGGGGTCGTGACCCGAGGTCTGCCACTCCTCGGCCTGTCCTGAGTCCTGCCTGTCTGTCTGTAACGGGTCATCAGCCTGGTTATTGTCAGTCGGTTACAACAGAAGATCCTGGCGACGTGATTGTAGGTAGCGCCAAGCTGGATCATGCCGATTGCCCTTTCTCTCTCTTCTTGCGATAATCTCGGCATGGTCGCAAATGTAATCGTAAAATGTGGATGTCCATAAACATTTTCACGTGCTTTTATACCGAATATTTGTCACGTGTGTCATGTGTGCACGTGCACGAAACTATCGTGAATAAGTTCACTTTTCTGGGTTCTTGCTTTGCACGTGCATCACTGTTTCATTGAGTCAGCTTTGTTGCGTTCGGTTGAATGTTTCTAGCCATAAATATTCAAATATCAAAGTCCAAACACAAATTATCATTTTATAAAGTTTGGTATTGTTTCTTTTGCCCCTGAGTGTATGTGGGCTTCTGAGTGGGTTAGCATGATTTTACAATCACTTTCGGAGGTATTCCTTCAATCCCATAAAACAGTATAGTATATATACTGTCAGACGAAATTCGCCGTGTACTCGCCGAAACACCGCAATCTTTAGATCCTAAACACATTTTCGATTCTCATAGTAAACGCAACACCATCGATTAACCCATTCCTTGTCTGCTTCAGTTGTAGCCGCCAGCAAACATGGGTGTACATTTACTTTCGCATTGCAATTATTTAACACAATTAACGCTATCTATAGGCTGGTAAATCGTGACATACGTATATGCGGGGTAGCCTTGTGGTCAAAAGGTCACCTCGTCACGCCGAAGACCCGGGTTTGATTCCCCACATGGGTACAATGCGTGAAGTCTATTTCTGGTCTAGCTCGTCATTGCTGCAATATTACTCACTCACTCACGCAATGTTAATATTATATAATACCTATTTAACTATCATTTAAAACGTAACACGTAATTTAACTATCATTTCTAGCTGTCACACTAACCTTATGCATCTACACACTGTGAAGGGTGCAGTGGCTGGTATGCAGGTGTAATTCAGCTCTGTGTTCCAGGCAAGTATTACGTATGGTTGTCCGGTACCAAGATAGGTCAACATTGGGTGTGGTCAGAATCCACCCAAGAGTTCACATACACAAACTGGGGGACAGGTCAGCCGGACAACATGGGACGGTATCATAAAGACGCTGACTGCTTGGCTCTCCGAACTCAAACCTTCCAGTGGGAAGATCTGGCTTGTGGCGAACGCTCCGATTACGTGTGTGTCTTTAAGTAAGTATAACGATTGTCGTACCTGATAGTCTCGATACTGGATAGTTTTCTGTATGTAGGTGTGATAGTTTTCTGTCTGTAGCTTTGGTAGTTTTCTGTCTGTAGCTTTGATAGTTTTCTGTCTGTAGGGTTGATAGTTTTCTGTCTGTAGGGTTGATAGTTTCCTGTCTGTAGGGTTGTTGATAGTTTTCTGTCGGTAGTGTTGATAGTTTTCTGTCTGTAGCTTTGATAGTTTTCTGTCTGTAGGGTTGATAGTTTTCTGTCTGTAGGGTTGATAGTTTTCTGTCTGTAGGTGTGATAGTTTTCTGTCTGTAGGGTTGATAGTTTTCTGTCTGTAGGGTTGATAGTTTTCTGTCTGTAGGGTTGTTGATAGTTTTCTGTCGGTAGTGTTGATAGTTTTCTGTCTGTAGCTTTGATAGTTTTCTGTCTGTAGGGTTGATAGTTTTCTGTCTGTAGGGTTGATAGTTTTCTGTCTGTAGGTGTGATAGTTTTCTGTCTGTAGGGTTGATAGTTTTCTGTCTGTAGGGTTGATAGTTTTCTGTCTGTAGCTTTGATAGTTTTCTGATTGTAGGGTTGATAGTTTTTTGACTGTAGGGTTGATAGTTTTCTGTCTGTAGTTTTGATAGTTTTCTGATTGTAGGGTTGATAGTTTTCTGTCTGTAGGTGTGATAGTTTTCTGTCTGTAGGGTTGATAGTTTTCTGTCTGTAGGGTTGATAGTTTTCTGTCTGTAGTGTTGATAGTTTTCTGATTGTAGCGTTGATATTTTCTGTCTGTAGGGTTGATAGTTTTTGTCTGTAGTGTTGATAGTTTTCTGTCTGTAGCTTTGATAGTTTTCTGATTGTAGGGTTGATAGTTTTCTGTCTGTAGGGTTGATAGTTTCCTGTCTGTAGCTTTAATAGTTTTTGTCTGTAGGGTTGATAGTTTTCTGATTGTAGGGTTGATAGGTTTCTGTCTGTAGGGTTGATAGTTTTCTGTCTGTAACTTTGATAGTTTTCTGTCTGTAGGGCTGATAGTGTTCTGATTGTAGGGTTGATAGTTTTCTGTCTGTAGGGTTGATAGTTTTCTGTCTGTAGCTTTGATAGTTTTCTGATTGTAGGGTTGATAGTTTTCTGATTGTAGGGTTGATAGTTTTCTGTCTGTGGGGTTGATAGTTTTCTGTCTGTAGGGTTGATAGTTTTCTGTCTGTAGGGTTGATAGTTTTCTGATTGTAGGGTTGATAGTTTTCTGTCTGTAGGGTTGATAGTTTTCTGTCTGTAGCTTTGATAGTTTTCTGTCTGTAGTGTTGATAGTTTTCTGATTGTAGCGTTGATATTTTCTGTCTGTAGGGTTGATAGTTTTTGTCTGTAGGGTTGATAGTTTTCTGATTGTAGGGTTGATAGTTTTCTGATTGTAGGGTTGATAGCTTTCTGTCTGTAGGGTTGATAGTTTTCTGTATGTAGGGTTGATAATTTTCTCTATGTAGGTTTGATAGTATCCACAACTGTTATCAAATACACTTTCTATTTAAACTAATAATTTATTGCCAGCACGTTACCTTCCTGTTTGATCTTCAGTAACCCATGCTTGTCGTAAGAAGCGACTAACGGGATCGGGCGGTCAGGCTCGCTGACTTGGTTCACACATGTCATCGTATCCCCATTGTGCAGATCGATGCTCATGCTGTTGATCACTGGATTGTCTGTTCAAGACTCAATTATTTACAGACCGCCGCCATATAGCTGGAATATTGCTGAGTGCGGCGTAAAACTAAACTCACTCACTCACTCACCTTCCTGTCAAATATGTGTGGTCTCTCTGTACGTATCATACTTGTTTACTAATAATTAATTGCCTGTTGATTGTGTGGTATAACTGAGAATCTAGTGCATAATGCATCAAGCCATACGTTACTACACCTGAAATAATTAGTGCCAATTCATTTCAGATGGAATGGTACCACATTTCCTGCAATATCACTTGATGGGAAAGCCAGCTTATTAAGTAAGATTTCTTCGGAAAATTATGCAAAGGTCTTTTATGCATAGAGTGGTGTGTGGTGGTGTGTAGTCCTGTGCATAGATTCAGGTAACAAGTCAGATGCAGTTAAGCAGCTTTGGTTGCTGAGAGTCATTGGATGGGTGACCGTGTTTGGCAACTTGACTCCTGAGAGTTTCCATGACTTCAGTCCTGCCCCACAACGAGGCACATGTGATACACGTGGTCTCACCTTAGGCAAATGAGTTTGTTCAAAATTGCCTCTGTTCACCCAGTAGAAAATGGGTACCCGGTGGGATAAGTCATGTGACTGATAACCTAGCGCCTCACTGGCAGGTTGGGTTATCCGGGGAAATAATAGTCATACTGTTAGAGCTATGAGCATCCACCTAGTAAATGGAGCTTGGCGCTTTATAAAGGCACTTATTATTTTTAGAATGACTGGTTCCACAGGTAGGGAACACATTCTGGCTCCCTTCTGTGGATACTCGCTGTCGTCACTGATTTTAGGGATCCATTCATATACATTTTACAGCAATGTTGCCCTTTTCGTCAAATAGAAACCGGTTCGGCGGAAAATCGAGGTTATTATCTAATGTAGACGTTATATATTTCTATACCCTTCATTGTTCATGGTGCTTTCTGTTATCTGTTACAGTGATTATTTATAAAAAACGATCTCTTTGTATCACTACATACATATACAGTTTCGAAAATATCGAACGCTGGTAAAAATAGTCTGGCCCGTTTACAGATGACTGCGGCAACGACGGAGGAAAAGCTTTCAATGGATGGTGCTATCGTTTCGTCCACCCACCTGAAAAATGGGAGAAAGCCAAAGTAAGCTAAAATTAATATCATTTGGAGTTATATCAGTCAGATCGTATAATATTGAGGATATTTGAAAAATGCATTGCTACACATACTGAAAGAGAAAACATGAAATATAATCGTTTCACAATACAGCAGTTCTAAAACACTGCCTTCAAAGCAATATCAATAACTGCTGGTTTTGACGTAGTCCGATTGAATTAGATAAAATATAATGAAAAGATAGGAATATTATCCTATATCTCATAATTAACCACTATGAATTTGGGCAATGTTCAGCGTGGTATCCTAGTGGAGATTCGCTCGTCGCGATGAAGATTCGGGTTCGATTCCCCACATGGGTTCAATATGTCAAGCTCGCTTCCGGTGTCCTCCGCAGCGATTTTGCTTTTTATATTGCAAAAAGCAACATAAAACTCACCCACTCATTTTCCTTTGTTTGTTATGCATTAAAATGTATATATACCAATAGGGAAAATTGTGTATGCTTTATATTATTAGTTTATAATTTATATTCTTGTTTGCGACATTCTGCAGGCCTACTGTGAAGAAAGACACATGCGACTGCTTGAAATAAAATCCGAAAAAGTTCAACGTTTCATTGCCTATTTCATGCAGTATTTGAACCGTACGTACCACCATGGCATTTGATTGAAATATTCATCACTTTGAAAGTTAAAAGAGTAATTTATGTGAATATTGTATGTTAATATGTCAAATAAAAAACAACGAGATAATCATCAGAAATCAGAACGATAAGTTAAATTCACTGTGGGAATACTCATGGTTATAATTAATACAAGATGTATATCAATTCGAGCTGGGAATTTATTAATGTTGACTATCCGTCAGCCTGGGAAAGCATATCTTATATGTATCATCTTAATTGCACACGCTATACACGCGGTGGGGTAGCATAGTCATATCGAAGACCCGGGTTCGATTCCACATATGTGTACAATGTGTGAAGCCCATTTCTTGTGTCCCCCACTGTGATGTTACTGGAATGTTGTTAAAAAGCGGGCGGCATAGAACCTCACTCACTCACTCACTCACACGCTCTATACATGTGCAGGGAATAACTTATACTCTTAACAAATACTTAACAAATACTCTAAAAAGTGAAAATGGGGACCAAAGCGAAACATGTCGCGGTACGACATGAAATGATTGTTTTATACAATTGTGCGCAAAACTTTCCCTCCATACTCACCTCGGTCTAAAGGAACGGTTGTTTGTTTAATTATTGGACCTGTTCAATTATCGTTAATATATCAATGTACATTATTATAACTCTTTAGGTAAAGGTTTCATTGTGCCCACCATATTTGCATATACATGTAATACATATACTCATGCCAATAATGGTTGTCACCCCCTTCAATTTTTTAATTGGAAAGGGGGTGTGGGGTTGGGATGTGGAGGGGGATGACAACCATTATTGGCATGAGTATATATTCAACATATAACACGTCATTTTAGCCATCGACTACTTTTGCGTGTGGACCGCTCTACAAGAATCGAATGTTGGATGGGTGTGGCAGGGTAGCCAGGAACACGTTGACTACACTAACTGGGCCAAAAATCATCCAGATGGCTTGAAATCCCTTTTTTGGAATGAAAAATGTATGACCATGAATGCCGAAGGACATTTCTGGCGACGCTATTCCTGTACTGGAGAGTGTCATTTCATTTGCGAATACTCGTAAGTTTTTTTACAACCTAAATTGGTAACACATGTTTTATTTGGGATTGCACTTTCTTAGTAAAGTACAGATTGTAGTACTTTTTTGAGGTTGAGAATCATCAGAGGATTCGAACTCACACCCTCAGAGTCAGGCACCTAATCGCCAGCACACAAAGTCAGACGCCTAGACCGCTCAGCCACCGCGGCTTCCACAAAAATGGAAGTGGGACAACTGGTAGTCTAGACTGAGGACTTTGTGTCCGCATTGGCATTGTGTATATCCTAAATTGGTAAGATAAGTATGTGAAATAATTTAAGAAGAGATTGACGATGGCAGAGATTCAACATATTAAAAAGGTCTTACCTGATGAAACGGAGCCCGATTAAAGGGAAACTAAGGGCGCCATTTGGCAGTGATAGTTCGTTTGATTGGCCATTTCAAAGTCACTTCATTGATGACTGAAATTTGATGATGCACATAAACCTTAATAACGCAATAAGCAGCGTCTCAGTGTACGTACCACCCGTAATAAGTATGCATTGTAGCTAGACCACATCAGAATTCATGGCAGTCTGAAGTGTTATCTTGAAACTCGAATATCAACTGTCATGTCTTTTATCACGCGCATATGAAACAGATGGTTTTTACTTTACACGACTAAGGCAAATGACTTTTATCATAAGATAGTTGGTTACTAAAAATAATCTTATTGCAAGTCGCTATATTCTTTCAGCAACGTCACTACAACAACAGCCACTCCTACTACTACGACAGAACTTCCACCAGGGCAATTGAGTACGTACATGTTGAGTGAGTGAGTGAGTTTAGTTTTACACCGTACTCAGCAATATTCCAGCTATATGGCGGCGGTCTGTAAATAATCGAGTCTGGACCAGACAATCCAGTGATCAACAGCATGAGCATCGATCTACACAATTGGGAACCGATGACATGTGTCAACCAAGTCAGTGAGCCTGACCACCCGATCCCGTTAGTCACCTCTTACGACAAGCATGGGTTGCTGAACATCAGTTCTACCCCGGATCTTCACGGGTGAACATGTTGAGAATAGCGTCACATTTAGTGTCACAGAGTAAGGTTAATCAGAGGACCGTTTAGCGACATTGAAAGGGTGTCTGGAAGAGCAATATGCATGAATTACGCTGGGGAGTCGGGTGCCTTAACCAATGTAGCAGACCAATGTGCCTAGACGTAAACTGGGTGGGCTTATCTTTCCGGATAATCGTCCCACTCAAGAATTCATTTTCCCCTTCAAAGAAGTGAAAGCTCACAAGATATCAAGATACTGTCATCATCCATCTTTGCTTGCCTTGGTCACAATACATCATCTTCCTCAATCGAATACAAGCAGTCCCACATGTCATCTCAGCCTGCATTCCGATGGATCCATAACAGATAGGTTTCAGCAGCTTCACTAAACTTCTATCACATAACGTAACACAGTTTCGTAGTAGTCGATATCAATAACAGTACTTTCTATTTGCAAATGCACATACGATTTGATGTACAAAATATCCTACTCAAAGAAATTAGGAACACTTGCTTCTTTCATATTACTTCAGTCAGTGTGTGTGCCACGATGGCTCATCTCTAGTAACATGAAATAATGGAATGTTCTTAATTCTTTAATTTCTTTTGTGTAGTGATCTAATGGTATAGTGAAACCATATCTCTTCTCCAAGGTTACCCGATGTATTTTGTTGGCAATGGGGTAGGCCATGCCAATGTTATCATCGTACCGTGCAGACTTCAAGGAAATACAAAGCCGTGGCAAGTTACATGGGCTATTTGCCTTTATCTATGTTGTAGCATCTTATATAGTGTATATATTTTTACATTTTATTAATATTTCTAGAACCAGGCAGGCTGAATATGTGTGTATGTCGTGGTGAAAGCATGTGGTGGTTTTGACATACTTGATATGGAGGTCATGCTGTGGCAATAACGATCCCTCTAAACAGAGTCTGTGTATTTCAGGACAATGTCGGTTTGGAGGATCCTACTTCCTTGGTAACTGTTACGTCTTCTTCCATGACCTCGGGACAGCAGCGACTGCAAAGGTAGGGGGTTCTCAGAGATCCCGCCAACACCGCTCTAATTGCATGTTCTTTAAAGGTCTTTAGAACATGGAAAGTATATTCTGATTTCAAAAACAGACATACCTGGCTAACGATTCGCCTTTCAATAAAGGTTTCACAAATTTTACAGAAATTTTATGGTATCAACTCAGAGGAATAATCTGTCCCCATGGAAACTGTTTCAGCAGATATTACTGGCGGTGTGAAGGATGTCGTGTAATGTATTAATATTAACTAAAAATAAAACAGAACCGAATACGACATACTCAACATTGTAATGAAACATTTTACAATACATTTCAGGCCGAGTGCCACTCACGACATATGGCACTGTATGAAGATACAACGATGGAGAAGTCCACGTTTATTGCACAATTTCTTAAAACAAGGAGTGAGTTGATCAGCTGTTTCTACACAGGACAGTCTTCTCGTCCACTCTCCATAACTTTCACCTGTCCTTGTCACAAAATGTAGCTTTATCATTATCATTTTCGGCACTGTGATGTATATAAGAAGATGCTTGGTTATTTGATGTAAGTAAGTCAATCTTTTCTGCCCGGATTTAACCACTAATGACCTCTTGTTAGTGTGAATGAGGTTTTGGCCGCTTGTAGCAACAATCCAGCTGGGGGTACCTTCAAAGAGTGAGTGAGTGAGTGAGTTTGGGTTTACGCCGCTTTTAGCAATATTCCAATATCACGGCTGGGGACACCAGAAATGGGCTTCACACATTGTATCCATGTAGGGAATCGAACCCGGGTCTTCGGCGTGAGGAGCGAACGCTTTAACCACTAGGCTACCCAACCGCCCCTGTGGTATATTGAATGTTGTTACTGTAACATTGCTGACTCATACGCTAAGAAAGCTTAAACCATTATACCCTCATTTGGCATCCAAACCGGATAATAATTCCTTACCACTGTGCTACCCCACTACTGTGCTATGGTAAGAGGGTTAGTCATATTTATCAGCTGGTCAGGTTCGGGGACTGCCTAGAGCTGTTCTGAGACAATTTAAGACCATAGTCGTACGTGGTATTGCTCTTTGATTGCAGGTAATGGTTTAGTTTGGATGGCAGGAAGTGACAATGAAGTAGAAGGAAGATGGGTTTGGTCGGAGTCCCGAGTCCCTGTTAGTTACACAAGATGGGGGGGTAGCGCAGCCTGACAACGGTAAACATACTACTGCAGAGAACTGTCTAGCATGGGACACAATAACCTCCACATGGAACGACCATGATTGCCAAATGACAGCTGGATACCTGTGTGAATACAGGTGTGTATTTTAGACCTTTCTGATAGTCGTGTCTGTTGACTGGTATGGAATCGGTCATATGTAACTGCCGGACAAGTGAAAGGAAAAGCGTACAAATCTAAACAATCACAAACGCTATGAAAATGTTCAGAGGATGAAAGCAGTCATCAAAACACTTCGAGTTAATATAATGAGTGCAAGGTATTCAAGAACAACGTTGAAATGGTATCAAATACACTAGGTACCATGGAATAACCATTTGTGTTTGTTTCATTGTGGTCACCATTAAACATGGGTGTTCACTTTCGTTTGTCCGGAGTGGTCCAGTATGAAATAGACACTGGTCTGATGGTTCTTATTGACAGAATGTGTCTGTTCTCCATGTTCTCCAACTAACAACGATATGCTCAGACGGGGTTGATATTTGTTCGTGTTATCAACCACTGTTTAGCAATCATTTACAGACCTGTCCGATATTCTTGCCTGCGGTGTAGAAGAGCAGCCATTCAACATAGTTAAGTGCCTCTGTTCGCCCAGTTAACTGCGTTTCAACGCTAACTTTAAGGTTCAAATGAGAATAAACATATCAAGTGCTAAACATTTTTTAGGCATGTTTGAAATTTGAGTGGTGGAAGTATATCACCTGTCCACATTCATAGTAAAAACACCATATCCTTAACCTCTATAACCAATATAGTACACAATGGAATGGTTATTTTGCAGATGGAACGGGTCTACGTTTGCGGAAACATCTCCTGACCGGAACGTTAGTTTAACAGGTAAGAATTGTTGTTAACGCCACAACCGCAATACTTTCTTTGGCTGTACATGATCGGGTTGGAACCAGACAGACCAGAGATGGTAAATATGGCACCGATCAGGAAGGTCAGCGAGATCAGGAAGATCAGAGAACCTGACCTACTTGGACAGTCTGTTCCTAACTGTATTCGCTCAATATTCGTTGTTCCTAAATGACAAATTACAAGCGTTTCAAGTTAACTTGTTTGTTTAAGTATTTGACATAATTAATTCAAACATCCGCAACACTAACAGGTGACTGTGGCCAGGGAGGGAAGGAATTCATGGGACGGTGTTACATATCGGCCTACCCACGGGCAGCATGGGTAGAAGCAAAGGTAAGTGAGGTGAAATTGGGTTTAACGTCGTGCTTGAGAATATTTCGCTCAGATGACGACGTGCATGCGTGTGTATGTATGTGTGGCTGCTAGTACTAGCCCAGACTGAAGCTGGTTATAGTGCTAGCCCACTGAGATACCATGCCACAGTTAAGCATGAACACCCCACCCAGACACATTATACTGACTCCGAGCCGACCAGTCCTTGTTGTACCCATTAATGCCGAGCGCCAGGCAGGGACCAACAAGTACCATATTTTAACGTCTTTCGGTTTGACGCGACCGGGGATCGAACCCGCTACCTTTCACATATTAAATATTCCGCTCTCCGGACGGACGCTCTAACCACTACACCACGGAGGCGGTCAGCAAGGGTAGGAAAGTCTGGTCGATACAATCGCACTGGTTCTTAAGCTACAAGATTCACAAGAGAATCACTAAATGCTGCTACGTTTATGTACACATTTCAAGACAAGAATGATTAAGTCAGTTTGATATGGTTATCCCAGTTGCGATGAACACATTCTTTACACCCTGAATCTAATCCTCTAAACCAGCCCGCTGTGTGCGTGCCGGCTACAACATCAACATTGTCAGACATGGTCCATAAGGGGCCGTGCAGTTGTATTGCAGCGGAGGTCGTAACAAGTTTGATTGAAATAATCATTTTGTGAAATGTTACGATGTACACTAATACAAGAATTTGTTAAGCTTTTTCCTGAATATTTTCCTCTTTTTTACTCATGCCAATAATAGTTGTCAACCCCCTCCCCTACCCCCCTCACACCCATTATTGGCATGAGTATAGTTACGACAACAAGATACTCATCGGAGAAGTAGTAATCCGTCTGTAAACGTTTCAAAATGATTCACCGTGAAGAACGAAAATCCAATTTTTGTCAAACCATACAAATTGCAAGATGTACATGGAATACACGTTGGGACGGGTAAACAAACTCTGATAGTAGCTTTGATAGTGTTGGAAACAGGATGGGGATGCATTCATCCCAATGCTTTGTTTCGTTCACATAACAGAAAGTCTGCGAGGAAAACAACATGAAGCTGGTGGAAATTATGTCTGCTAGGGATCAACAGTTCCTGGAATACTACATCAAGTATATTCGTCGTAAGTGCTGGGTTCATAGATGTTGACGGTCTGAAGTAAGTTTTTGCTGGAAGTTTGCTAGATGAGCTAGTTGACACACCAGGCCATAGAGTGCCGTGATAACTAGGACAGTTTAACAGTAAGCAATAGTTTTAGCATTAAATTTTTGAACACCTGGTGTCATCATTGATATCGTTGGTTTTCATCCTGTATTCATTGTCCACACTCTGGTCAATGTTCTGTGATCGACGTAGCAACATGAGTAGTGATTCGGATATAGGATTGGTACACCCGACACATAATTTACATTTCGGAGTAGTTCCAAGGGAATTATTAGCACTGGTATCGTGTCATCTATTTGATAACTCCTATGGATTTTGTCACTTTTTAGCATTGCCTCTGACTCCTAATGCTAGGATTCATCATTCGTCCATCTGTTCCACACGTGAACACTATAAATCTATTTTGGCGTCCAAACCCTGATACGGGTCGAAAAGTGATGAAAGCAGGATAACAACCAAAACGTCAATGAAACCAAATACATAGTCTTGACTATCCCCCGGAACAAATTCCGCTTGGAAAAGTGAGTGAGTGAGTGAGTTTAGTTTTACGCCGCACTCAGCAATATTCCAGCTATATGGCGGCGGTCTGTAAATAATCGATTCAGGACCAGACAATCCAGAGATCAATAGCATGGGCATCGATCTACGCAATTGTGATACGATAACATGTGTCAACCAAGTCAGTGAGCCTGACCACCCGATCCCGTTAGTCGCCTCTTACGACAAGCATTGGTTACTGAAGATCAAATCTAACCCGGATCTTCACGGGTCTGTTTGGTAAAGGGGAAAACAGCTGTAAAAATTATATGAATGGGTCACAGAATTATGAGTGTTGATACCAGGTACTTGCGAAGACATCATTTATAGATGAAAGAGCAATATATTCGGATCAGAAGTCAATGAGAATGACCCGAGCGGTATATGCTGAATTTCGAGGATCTCTTGGCTGCAAAATGGTGTTTGCCTTGTCAAATCGATTCAGCATGATGTGAAACCTGCATCAAGCTAGATTCGTTACACCTCTGCTATTATATTCTAACTACAGTATAATATATGCAATATGACCTGAAATACTTATGTCACTGACATAGAACTTCAATATGACTTCAGCGTCAGAATATGAATGTGTTTGGATGGGGTTGTCCGATGCTGTGTTGGAAGGCCACTGGGTATGGAAAGCCAGCAATGAGATACCTGTATATAAGAACTGGGCGCCGGGTCAGCCCGACTGTCTGGACACCTTCCTGATGTACGGCGAGGACTGTGCTGCCATGGATCACCATGACAACAAATGGCACGACAAAGGATGCACGTCTCTAATGTGTGACTACGTCTGCGAATTTAAGTAAGTTCAAATGAAAGTAATCAAGCTGACGTTTGGTAACACTTATGTTCAGTGTCCTTAATATTTTAGAAAATATATCGCCAACAGCAGAACTTGTGTCCTTGGCTGCGGCGGTTTCCGTAAAGATGTGGCTGATGCTACAGAGGTGGACCATCACACGACAAGCTGCGGGTGTGTGTGTTGAGGTGACGTTATTACAGAAGTCTTGGTTAAGACAATAGATATAGCTGGCAGTGCCAAAGGTTTGTTTGGGCCAGAGAAGGATCGTGTCTGGTTTGGACACGTAACCTTCCTTATAAGGTGTAACGAAAAATACTGAGCCTAAGTTTACTTAGACTACTTTTTTGCCATCCAGAAGCGATGAAGTTGGAAGGTGAACAGATGCAATTATGCCATTTTTTTATTGTCGACAATTAAAGTCACAATAAACAATATGAACAATTTCCGTTAATACAGAATATCCATGTTAAAATGCAACGTCGAGCAAAGTTTCTAGCGTGTCTGACGTCCATTGTCTTGTCACGGCAAATCAAAACAGTGTCGACTTCTTCTGTTTACGAAATGACGAAAGCCTCGGTATTGAAGTTATTATAAAACATGTAACAATTATATACATCTGATTTAAGTCAAAGATACGTTAATCTTACAGCATACCATCTACTTCAACTACTACGTTGAAACCACTTCCACCTGGGATATTAAGTAAGTAATAGTAGATCACCCTACTCTTTCATTTTACAGCACTATGACATACCAGATTAACTGTTGTGATATGAAGGATCGGGAGGCCTTTAGTTTTGTTTGATTAGCGTAGTAATATATTTACGAAAGCAGGGCTTAGTACTGAACATGTTTTGCTCAGACAGCCAGTTCAAATGTCATATAACAATATGTCCGAATAATAATTATTATATGTGCCCGCAAACTTGCTGTTTCAACATAAAAGTCCTTCATGTCCTACTCTTAATAACATGAGGCATAAAAACACCCCGTCTTCTTCCATCATCCAATACATAATAAATATTTTTGTAAGAATATCTTAGATTACGACACAAGCTAGATGTAATCTTACTATTCGAGACACCAAACTCATGGGATTTATTTGTCACGATACAAATAGAGGAGATTATTAGGCTGGAGGGAAACATCCCAGTCTCTAACGCGTCGCTGTTTAAACCTTGTGGACACAGCCTTTCTTATCAAAAGCAAGCGTGCTTTAATGGCTCAATACCATTGACTATAGAACATGACAAATGTATATTAGAACTTATGTAGCTTATGTTGCACAACTTTGTTGCAGGACAATGTAAGTTTGGCGGTATCTTTCACAAAGGTCATTGCCATGTGCACTTCCACGAAATGGTCACGTACGTCAATGCCGAGGTAAGAATACGGTCTTTTCAAAAAGTCATGTTAGAGATAACTTCTTGTTGCATTAAAGATGATATTTCCAATCTAAAATGTGGTTTAAACATAATTCTTCTCTTGTGGGTGGCTTTCGTAACCTAACACACAAAACGTTAAATACCCCGGTGAATTCATTTGCCAGATTATACTGTCACATAGCAATCATCAGCGTTAGAAATATCTACAGTACAACATTATATAGTAGTTCTAAAGTAATTATATACAGTATTATACTGTGGTAAATCTTTTCACCCGGGAAGAACCGGGTTAGAATTGGTCTTCAGCAACCCATGCTTGTCGTAAGACCCGACTAACGGGATCGGGTGGTCAGGCTCGCTGACTTAGTTGACACATGTCATCGGTTCCCAATTGCGCAGATCGATGCTCATGCTGTTGATCACTTGATTGTCTGGTCCAGACTCGATCATTTACAGACCGACGCCATTTAGCTGGAATATTGCTAAGTGCTAGACTCACCTACTCAATCACTCGCTGACTATAACATTTTCCATTGTACTGTAGCAAGACTGCAGGTATATTTGGCATACTTTACTAAGGAAATTATCGAAAGTGCTATCATATGTAATCGCCACAGCTTGAAATTAAATAGAAATCCGTTGCTGGTACCACGTCAGCTTTGTTTCAGATAGCATGTCACACACACGACATGCGAGTCTATGAAGAAACATCAAAGGACAAGACTGAGTTCCTTGCACAGTTTCTGGGTACAAGAAGTGAGTAACTTTAAGTTTTTCCTTTCTCTCACGTAGTGGTAGTCATGGCGATTCTGCTGTCACTCTGTCAGTGTTTCCTCAAATAGATGAGGTTCAAGATTTCTGCACTTTACAGTGCATGCATGCATGCATGCATGTATGTATGTATGTATGTATGTATGTATGTATGTATGCATGTGTATGTATGTATGCATACGTGTATGTATGTATGTATGTATGTATGTATGTATGTATGTATGTATGTATGTATGTATGTATGTATGTATGTATGTATGTATGTATGTATGTATGTATGCATGTGTATGTATGTATGCATACGTATGTATGTATGTATGTATGTATGTATGTATGTATGTATGTATGTATGTATGTATGTATGTATGTATGTATGTATGTATGTGTGCATGGATGGATGGATGTAGGTAACAAGGTAGATCGGTAGGTACGTATATATGAATTTACTAATCCGGACGAATGCCGATTGTGTATAGAGTCCACTGAGATACTATGCCGTAGTTTAACGTGTACCTCCCGCTCGACGACAAAAAGCACCATCTTTCAACGTCTTTGGTATGTTTCGGCCCTGAACCCTTTACTCTACCCTACCTTACATGAGGATTAATTGACTGCAGGTTTTTGCTATGCTTGGGTGAACATAACTAGTACATTATCACACTGACAAACCGCGAAACAAAAGGCTATACAATTTTCAATACCCTTTTCAGCATTATTTTCAATTAATACAATAAAATCATCCTAAAAATATACAATCATAATAAATTCCTACTACAAGCGCTGTAGGAGCACACGTTTATGAATAAGTATCAAATAGTTGTATAACCTGGTCTTTTCGAGAAGGTTTTTATATCCTGCTCCGTTTGTGGCATACGTAAAAACACATGCAATGGCGAGCGAATTGTTCATCTTATGAAAAAAAGATGCGACCAACCAATTGCTAACTGATTAAAATGCGACGAGGAACATGCTTTTTACATATGCCGTAACTCTGGCTCGTTATATCTTCTCATGCACATGCTCATCACATGCTTATGCTCGTGATATATGCTCAGTGCATGCTTATGCACGTGGTATATACTCACGTTCATAATCACGCATGCTCTTGGACATGACAAATACCCATGCTCATAAGGAACATATAATATGGTCACTATTCATCGCAGTGCCTCATCTTCCAGCCAAGAACAGCGTTTGGCTAGCCGGAAGTGACCGTGACAGCGAGAACAACTGGCGCTGGCTCGAATCCAAACAACCTTTCACGTACACAAAATGGGCTGGTGGTCAACCAGATGATGATGGGGGCTATTTTGGGTCACAAGACTGTTTAGTGTACAATGGGAAATGGAACGATGTAAGCTGTGGATCTACGGCCGAATATGTTTGTGAAAGCACGTAAGGATACGTATACTGTATTTTGTACAGTGATAAAAATAATGTATTATTGTAAACGTAGGGATTCTCACTTA